CACGAAATCAGGGCATTGTAGACAGTGGCATGACTGAGCAATCTCTGCCTGAGCCTGTCGTTTGTCGAGGATATCGCGGATATCCATCTCTTTGATACGCTGCCAGTCAATTTCGTCCCAGGCAGTATCGATCCAAGAGTTGGTGAATTGGCACAGTTCCGTTTCTGCCCACTTGAGGGATTCTGTTCCTGGATTAGTCTTTTTTGATAACCATATGGGCAAAAAGAAGCAAATATTCTCTTACCTTTCTTAATGTTCAGATACCACATTGGTTTTGTGATCTTAACCTGGGTGTTTGTCACGCACTCGAGATCGGATAGTGGGATCTTGCATACGCGGAGGCTCATGTCATCGACGCGAGTGGGGAGTGATTGGAAGTAGGGTCGGAACAGAGGCAAGAATGGAAGAATGTCGGTGGGGTGTCGTTTGCTACTCAAGGTTCCGATCTCAAGCACTTGGACACAGGGTACGGCCCCGACAACTCCCGCGGAAACTCCATCGCGAGTGATAACACCAGCAGTACGGAGCCCATCCTATTTTCCACGTTAGCATTTTACCAAACACATACTATCACAACGGAAAAGGTGAACTCACCTTGCGGTATACCACCAACCTCTTCATTGTGAAAAGACGTTTGCCAACAGGCGATGATATCAGTTCGGTGTGGAACTCAGCTGTGAGTTTTCGATACTCCATAGCGGCGTTATGACAGGCCATCAAATCCAGGTCACAGATCTCACATGGTGCCCGTTTGATTTTCGCAAGACTTGCTTCGGATACCTGTACTTGCTTCTCGTGTTCCGGTAGGAGAGCCTGTGTTGCATTTTCACTGAAACTCCGCTTGATCATTTCCTCAATCTTCAGGGCTTCCACACGCAACAGATTCAGTATCATATTGTATGTGAGACGGAATTGAGACCTAAGCTTTGTGGGGTCTCCAAGAATCATCTGTTTCAGCGAGGCAGCAGATGGGGCCTCATCCTTTCCGCTGTTTGTCACGATAACATATCCCACCGTGTCAAGACCTCTACGACCAGCACGTCCGGCCATTTGCGTGTATTCGCCGGGCAGGAGATCACGGAAGCTTTTGCCATCGTGCTTACGGAACCCGGAGAATACCACAGTTCGGGTGGGAAGATTCAGACCCATCGCGAATGTTTCTGTGGCGAACAAAACCTTGACCAGAGACCTAGCGAAGAGAATCTCAACAACTTCCTTCATGATGGGCAGGAGACCGCCATGGTGTACAGCGATGCCTCTGCTTAGTAGCTCGCGAAGGCGAAGAATTTGCGGTAGCGTGCGGTCTTCAGGCTTCAATCGGGTGAGTGACTTCTCAATGAACATGTGTGTCAAACTCTTCTCGCTGGCGTTGCTGAAGTCTTGGTTTGACAGTGAATCAGCGTTCTCCTCGCATCGCTTCTTAGAAAAGACGAAAACACATCCCGGCAGCAAGTCTTCTTGGCGAAGATGCGAAACAAGATGCACCCAGGTGTTTTTGTCTTGTGCCGCACTTGTACGACCGCCACCACGGCCTGTGCGAGCAATGTTGCCTGTTCCTCGGTTGGCGTACTGTCCGCCGCTCTGTCCCCGACCTCGTTGCGGACCTCCACGCTGTGGACCGCCGCGCTGGGGGCCCCCGCGACCACCTCTATTATTCGCTGGCTGGCCACGTCCCCGGCCCTGGGGGACCGGTGCTCTAGCTTGCGCCGACTGCGCCTGAGCTTCCGCCTCCTTCTTGGCTTTGGCCTTATCTTTGCCGGACAGAATATCATCTGCTTCCTTCCAGCCGCTCTCAAGGAATCTTTTGTTGGAGTCGACGATCTTGTGCTTGCTCTTCCCGGCCCAGAGGTAGTGCTCTAGCGGGACAGGTCGTTTATGTGTTGAAATGACATAGATGTCCTTCTTCTTTGTACGACCCACCCAGGATGCGAATTCTCGGGTATTGGGCACAGTGGCGGATAGAAGAATCAATGTGACATGCTCTGGAAGCATAATGATGACTTCTTCCCATACCACTCCTCGTTCAAGATCGTTCACATAATGCACCTCGTCGAAAATGACAAATTCAACGTCCCGGATGAGATCAGCGCCTCGGTACAGCATACTTCGCAAGATCTCAGTGGTCATGATGAGACAGCTGGCTTCCGGATTGATTTGAACATCACCGGTCAGAATACCGACATCGTCAAATTCGGTTCTGAAATCACGGTATTTCTGGTTACTCAGCGCTTTTATGGGAGACGTGTAAATCGCTTTGGTCATATGTTTAGCAGCCAAGGCGATTGCATATTCGGCCACGACTGTCTTTCCTGCCGAGGTATGGGCTGCAACAAACACTGAATCGCCATTCTCAAGGTGGTAAACAGCCTCCTTTTGGAAAGTGTCAAGCTCGAATGGCCACTCTCTGGCCATATCTGGAACCAACTCGTTGAAGTTCGGGATATCCTTGTTGACATCCACAACGTGGGCCCATTCTTTACCTTTCTGCTTGTGAACACTGGCGAGCAACTGACTACGGGGTTCCAATGCTGGGAACTCAACTGGTAGCAAAGCGTCAATGTCTTCTTCGTCTTCGTCGTCGCTGACATCCTCAATCTCGGTATTTGCTCCTGTGTCGACATCCACAGTCTCCTCGGGTTGGTCCACTTTCAGGTCGCTTTCCTCTTGAAGAAGGGCAGTTTCGACTTCCTGCGCACCCTCGGTGGCGTCCTTGGATTTGGATTCATCGAAATCGATACCGTTGTCGAAGCCAGGGGGTGTTGTCAGAAGACCTCCCTCGGCGCCGAAGTTGATTATGCGATCGAGCCCAGATTGCTTCCCGTTGCTCGATTGTTCTGTGACCTGAGCATCGGCCTCCATTGCTGCCAAGGCCTCGATAGCGTCCAAACCCCCGGGAGCGAACGGGAAGAAACCTGCAGCACCTCTGACAAAGTCGGCACGACCAGCAGGTCGGCGGAGAAGAGATGTGGAGTTCTTGGCTGTTGCGCTTGCAGCAGGAACCGTGACTTCCTGGTATCCAGTAACTCGTCCTTCCAGTCCCTCTCGTGTGAACCGAGTCACCGTCCGTGTCTGGGTTGGGGCGAGTTCGAAAAGGTCTGCATAATCTGTCGAAACGTCCCATCGTCTGCGAAAGCTGTTAAGAGCTGCCCCGCAAATGAAAACAAGATACTGGTACTTACTTCTGAAGAGAATTCAACCATTTCGTGCTGAATTGGTCTGATGGGGTCAGAAACTCATTTTCAAGCTCTGTTAGCAACTCTTGGGCACTCTGAGGAGCTTGCTTCCGAGGTTGGAAGTTCTCGATCTTGCCATCCTCTTCGTCTGCGAGGCGAGCATCGAAGGCTGCGGGGCCGAACTGTTTGCCTTCTAGGTCTAACTTCTTCATTGGGGAATCGAGCGAGTCCGCCATGGTGTTAAGAAATGTATCGGAAAGTCAACCGGCGAGTGAAATTATGTCGATGTTTGACTCGGCAGTAGCCGAACCCCACACCAATATGTGTATCGATTTCAAGTCCTGGCGGAAAACTGGAAGGAATTGGTCTTGGGCGTGAAAAAAAGAGGTTGAACGGATGAAATTGACCTTTCAAGTAAGTTTGACGGAGTGTTTCGAAGTGGTTTCAGACAAGATTTGCAGCAACAGGGCTGCTTGGTAAACTTCGCTGAAAGACACCAAAGGCGGTATGATCCGGCAGTATCCATGACGTCGGTGTGGGGTTATGCTAGGGCTACCATCTATACATTTACATTTAGGTGCGCTGATCTTGATATTAATTTTGATTTAAATATATGTATTTTCCATAAGCAGAGCTTGTGAACTGTTCTAACTTCGATTACCCGTCACTTGAACCGCACTTTGCTAACAAAAACAGCCCTAACTTGTCACGGCCAAGTGGCGGATAACCTAATGTCATAGAGAGCAACAAGTTGAATGCTAGCAGAATTCAGGGAGTAACAAGTGCCTTGCGTGTATACTTTATGCTCGTATGTATAATCTTACTGATTTGAGATCCTATGGGAATACATTATTAACCACCGCTCCTTCAGGACGTTTTCTCGAACGATCGACGTTAACTATACCCCATATGCATAACTTAGTACTGTGATTGAGCAAGTAGTCTCTTATATGGGATTGCAGTAGTCCAGGCTAGGCTCACTAGAATGCATACCTATATTCATACTCACATACCGTAGATAGTTCCTGAAGTCATCATATCTCATATCGATAGCCAATTAATCATTTCAAACAGCTTTTTACTTTGCCGTGCATAGGAAGATTGTCAAATTATACAGGCCCACTTGAATTACAAGTCTACTTAACTACATTAGTGGATCACGCTGCTACATATAGAATTGAGCAGGACAAGCATGGCATCGAACGCGGAATGCTATGACAACGATACATTCAAGTTACCACGCCTTGCTTGTTTATTTGTTTGATTGTCTATCTGGTTATTGTTTCTGTTCTTATTTTTTCAATTCAGACCAGATTGTATTAGCAGAAAGAAAATATGTAACCTAACTTTTTGTACTTCAATCAGTCATACAAAAAATTGTAGATATAGCAAAGAAAAAGACAAATGGAATCGAGGTAAGATGATGTACGCCCCTAAGCGCCAAAAGGGTATGTGAGAACGACTCCATGCGAGAAAAATATTGGCCTGGTTAGCACGACAAGAACAAGTCTTAACAAGGAAGGGCCAATGAGTCCCCTTTTTGCAAAGGGAAGGCTGTAGGTATACCATCCTTGTTTAGTAGTAGGTCCCTTGTCCAGAGAGATCTCGGACATTTGTAGAATCTGCATGATCAGAAGAAAAAGAATGAGACAGGATGACATTAGATAGAAGATTCCCTGTAACGCCAGAGATAGGACGTTAACGGCAAGAAAAGATAGGGAATGTTTTCCGATCGTGAATATTCAGTGGGAATTCAAAAATCCCCTCTAGTGTGGCGATATACCTGTAAAGGTCAGTCTAATTCCGCAAAATGACTATATTATACACTCACAATGTGCGTCCATCGGCGCCCCATCCAACTCCAGCAGTGGAATCTGGCTCCTCGGCGCCGGGGCCATGCATTGAATTTCGATCAGGGAGATCATTGATTATGTTTCTGATCCAGCGAGGAGAGTGTGTCTGCTCAAATCCGAGAAGCTGTTGGCGATGCCGTTGTTCCCTTTCAAAAGAGCGGTTGTGTACCTCATTAGCAATCTGGCGCTGATGCCGAAGCCTCTCAGCAGCGACATTGGCACGAATCTCATATGTGGTGAGGCGAGAGGTGTCGTATCTTCTTTCCGCTCCGGTCTGTGGTCGTTCAACGCGCCGGGGAATGGAGCTTGCTTGCTGGGATCGGTGGTTCAGGCCATGCATGCCTAGACTTGGATTAGAAGGTCCAGTCGGCTCATTTGATATGCTAGTTTCGTTGTTGGTCGCTTCAGGATCGGCCCCAGCCCGAGAGATAATTTCTGACCTGAGGGGTGTAAGTTCTGAATGCGAGGTCGAATAACTGAGGGTGATGCCCGATTGGCGATCATGATGAGAGGGCGTGGCTTCCGAAGGTCGACTCCCTTGAGATACCACCACAGAGCTCTGGCGTCTTGGATTGGATAGAGTGCGGCCCAGATGGCTATCTCGGGAGACATCAGGAGAATCATAGCGATGCAGGGGCGAAGTAGGACGATGAGTGCGAGTGGCACCATCTGTGGAACCCTGATTTTGTGGTCGAGCCACTGGTTGAGGTTGAAGACTTGCCCTGGTCGGGCGCTCTGGTCGTTCAGTAAGTCCTTCTTCCAGTCGCGACGTCCAGCGTGCCGTGTTCAAGAACTCCATGATCAACCTTTCTCTCTCGGTAAGATCTTGAATCAAAGACTCTCGCAGAGACGACCGCTCCGTTTGCTCTCCGTGCCGTTCGGCCGGGAAATCTTCGTTGTCGAGTCGCGCTCGAGGTATCGTCTCCAGAAGATCATCGCTCAGGGGTTGTCGTTCGAAGTTCTCTGTCGAAAGGTCCGTGTACACTTCCTGCAATTGCGGATCATCAGAATCTAAATGGAGGATTTGCCTGCGCAGAAAATTTTGGCGAACGTCGGCAACGCCGGCTCTGCCGTGGCCCTCCAGCCATACAAGAAGGTCCCATGGCTCGGGCGAAAATATCATACAACGAACAGCACCGCCCTCCGCGCATGATCTTGACGTCGGGAATTGACAGAGAATAGGGGAGTCGTCGTCCGAGTCGCCAAAGTTCCTGTAGATAGACTCGACGTCGATAACCGTGATGATTCCAGATTGGGATCCGATAGCACACAAGCGACTGGATGGCGAGAAAGCGACAGTGAAACAGCACGCATCATCCGCCCGTAAGCCAATGTTCATCTCCAGGCGATTGATAAGCTCCCATTCCCACCCCGTGAGCTTCTGCCCAGATTCAGTTGTCCCAGAAGATTCCAAATCACGAGTTATTTCATAAAAGTAGGCGTGATTCTCATCCCCTACGGCCGTGAGCAGTTTAGAATCCGGGGAAACTGTCGCATAATTCATACAAGTCGGATGATGAAGAACCTTCAAGACTTTTGCGCGAGTCAGAGAATACACCGTGACTGTCCGATCATTATTGCTATCCATATGAGTTAGCATAGTCAGCATATACCGATTTTCCGAGACCTGCGCGCACCTCAGAACCACGATATCTTCATCCGCCAACTCCTCACTGCCGCCATAGAAACGATGGATGGCCACTGAATTGACAATGCTTCCACCAAATCTGTGGAGCTCTACTTCGGGTGATAATCTGCTGCTTCGATAGCGGGCTGAGGCAGATTCGCCACTGAAATCGCCCGGCGAAGTCATGCTTGACGGTGGGTCAAGATCGAGCGGGAGGGCACTATCCACATCGGCCTGGAAAGGCGCATCGCCATGGACTTGCATTCCACAATCACCGATGTGAATGAAAGCACATTCACCATTTTCTGGACCCCCCACTACTATCCAACCATGTCCAGCGACCAGACAGCGCGGCTCAAATGGGATCACAGCTACACTTTCGCGCTTTTGTTCCGATATGTGTATTGAATACACGATTCTCTCGACGACGACATAAATGCGATCGGGATCAGCAGTACTAATGTAGTTGCGAAGCTGTGTGTGACTAAAACAGAGCTTAGGTTAGGTTGCGCACGGAAGATAAGGAAGATAAGTGGGTTGATCAACGAACAAGTTGGGGATCTTGAACGGGAAGAACCGTCGCTTGGTCGGAAGGATGAGAGCCTCGGTTGGGCGATGTCTAAGACGACATTAGAGCTATTATCGATATTAGGCTCCAGGACTCACAGATTCGAGTCCGAGGTCATGGTGGATAGAGCTAAGCCAGAGATGACATTGTTCGAGCGGGGAAGTTTTGAAGAGAAGAAACGGGGGCTCCCCGTTAGAGTATGGCAACTTGGCAGTTAACACTATATTTTTTCTTTCTTGAAAAAAAACCCTTTGAATAGTCTGTGCTCTCACTCTTTTCTCTCTGCAGTTCAGAGTCAAACTGGCCCCGGAGGTGCTTTTCATGGATGACGTAAGACATGGGACTGGGACAAAAAGCCGGGGAACTGCAAATTCCAACGAATGCGGTTTGACTATCAACCCGGAACCGGCCTTGATCATTCATGATGATGCACTACACTGTTTATGGATTTTGGTTTCTTTTTTTTATTTTTAGATTGAATCTGGATTTTATATACTCCATGATATTCGCCCCAAGTCCCAGTCCAAGTGCCCTCGGCCAAGTCCTCAGTCCCAACGATCTGGACTAGGCGTTGTTTTTTCTCCCCCAAAGTAAATGGATTGTCATTGACCATCTAGATCCAGACGGTCTTTTAGCTCTATTCTCAATGTGTCTCAGGTTCAGCCAAATCAACGGCGAAGGGGAGTTTGCCGACCAGGTCACACGACACGTTGAGAGTATGACTGGTTCACCCACTGGAGATACACGATCGTCGTAACTGCTATAAGGAAGAAATGCTTATTGCGACAGCTCTTTGGCATGATATTTGTATGAATATAGCATAGAAGAACAGTTGGCCGCTTATGCGGCCTTGTCAAGTCTTTTGGGTAGTCTTTTTAGATGTCTTCAAAACCCTCAGGTATCTCCTTAAATGTAAGGTTTTTTTATAGATATTTCTTCCCTTTCTTAGTACTTCAAATTTGAGGCCGTAAAAACGGCTTAAAATGTGCAAACCGACAGTTCCATAACATTTGATAACACTAGATCATATATATGGACCTCGGGAGTAGCTCGGAGCTAAGGTTGTGAGTCTTTTGCCACATCGGAATGATATGCCATTAAACTGCCACATTATTACTGACTATATTGTATGGAATATACAGTTTTGACTGCCTTATTTGTCTCAATTTATCTCAATACATCTCAGTATATGTCAATCTATTCCAATATATCCCAACCCATCCCAATCTATGTCAGTATATCCCGTATCCCAATGTATACCGGTACGGCAACAAGGCGGTGAGCTCGGTTACCTAGGAGGCTGTCGACGGCAACCTTGGAACTCCCGTCCTGATTGGTCAGATCCCGTGATTCTACCAAGTTCGACGGGCCGAAGCTCTCCGTGCAATTTCTATTTCCTTTTCCCCTTCTTTTCGATTCCATCTCTCCATCTCCATCTCTTCAACCCCTTCTTCTGTCCTTTTTAACTTCACGATTGAGTCGTTGGAGTGTCTCTTTTTTCTCTTTTATTAATTAATTTATCACAATGCTTCCTCGCACAATTACTCGCGCAGTAAGGTCTACCCTACCGGAAAAAAAAATCTACGCGTCGCACGTCACTGACTCAGATCACAGCTCCCGCGCGCTGCTTTCGCTCGCACTCCTGCCTCCAGACTCCCTGCCTCATTCCGGAGATGGAACTCCACAGAAGGTGGTGAGGAGAAGGTAAAGGGCCAGGTCATCGGTATTGATCTCGGTAAGTACTGACGCGATATGGAAATTAACTTTCAATCCCAACAGTATTCTAACATGATTCATTATAGGTACCACCAACTCTGCCGTCGCTGTTATGGAGGGCAAGGCCGCTAAGATCATTGAGAACGCCGAAGGTACGTTTTCAAAGAAAATTCCACTCCTGCGGACAACTGGTCAGAGCTTCGGAGCTCGAATCTAGGAGACTTTTGACCCACGGTCTGATGGGCTTCAATGGAATTGGAAATTAACTCAATTTTTCAACAGGTGCTCGCACTACTCCTTCCGTTGTTGGTTTCGCCCAGGATGGCGAGCGCTTGGTCGGTATTGCCGCTAAGCGTCAGGCCGTTGTCAACCCCGAGAACACTCTGTTCGCTACCAAGCGTCTGATCGGTCGCAAGTACACCGATGTTGAGGTTCAGCGTGACATTAAGGAGGTTCCCTACAAGATCGTCCAGCACACCAACGGTGACGCCTGGGTTGAGGCACGTGGCCAGAAGTACTCTCCTTCCCAGGTTGGTGGCTTCGTCCTCAACAAGATGAAGGAGACCGCCGAGGCCTACCTCGGCAAGCCCGTTAAGAACGCCGTTGTTACCGTGCCCGCCTACTTCAACGACTCTCAGCGTCAGGCTACCAAGGATGCTGGTCAGATTGCCGGCCTGAACGTTCTCCGTGTTGTGAACGAGCCTACCGCTGCTGCTCTTGCCTACGGTATGGAGAAGGAGGCTGACCGTGTCGTCGCTGTCTACGATCTCGGTGGTGGTACCTTCGATATCTCGGTCCTTGAGATCCAGAAGGGTGTCTTCGAGGTCAAGTCCACCAACGGTGACACTCACCTTGGTGGTGAGGATTTCGATATTCACCTCGTCCGCAACATCGTTGCCGAGTTCAAGAAGGAGACCGGTGTCGACCTTACCGGTGACCGTATGGCCATCCAGCGTATCCGTGAGGCTGCCGAGAAGGCCAAAATCGAGCTGTCCTCTTCCCTCCAGACCGAGATCAGTCTTCCCTTCATCACTGCCGGCGCCAGCGGAGCCTTGCACATCACCCAGAAGATGTCTCGCTCTCAGCTCGAGGCTCTGGTTGACCCCCTCATCGCCCGCACCACTGAGCCCGTCCGCAAGGCCCTGAAGGATGCCAACCTCCAGTCTGGTGACATCCAGGATATTATCCTGGTCGGTGGTATGACCCGTATGCCCAAGGTCACTGAGTCCGTCAAGTCCATCTTCGGTCGTGAGCCCTCCAAGTCCGTCAACCCTGACGAGGCTGTCGCCATCGGTGCCGCCATTCAGGGTGCCGTTCTGGCTGGTGAGGTCACTGACGTCCTCCTGCTCGATGTCACTCCTCTCTCCCTCGGTATCGAGACCCTCGGTGGTGTCTTCACCCGTCTGATCAACCGCAACACCACCATCCCCACCAAGAAGTCCCAGACCTTCTCCACCGCTGCTGACATGCAGACCGCTGTCGAGATCAAGGTCTACCAGGGTGAGCGTGAGCTCGTCCGTGACAACAAGATGCTCGGCAACTTCCAGCTTGTTGGCATCCCCCCGCTCACCGCGGTGTTCCCCAGATCGAGGTCACCTTCGACATTGACGCTGACTCCATCGTCCACGTCAATGCCAAGGATAAGTCCACCAACAAGGACCAGTCTATCACCATTGCCTCCGGCTCCGGTCTTTCCGATGCCGAGATCCAGTCCATGGTCGAGGAGTCCGAGAAGTACGCTGAGACTGATAAGGAGCGCAAGGCCGCCATTGAGGCTGCCAACCGCGCCGACAGCGTCCTGAACGACACTGAGAAGGCCCTCAAGGACTTCGAGGACCGTCTTGACAAGGCCGAGGCCGAGACTATCAAGGAGAAGATCGCTACTCTCCGTGAGTTCGTTGTCAAGAGCCAGTCCGGCGAGAGCGCCACCACTGCTGAGGAGCTCAAGGAGAAGGTCGATGACCTCCAGACTGCCAGCTTGACCCTGTTCGACAAGATGCACAAGGCCAACAACGAGCAGCAGCAACAGCAGCAGCAGGGTGGTGAGCAGCAGGGTGAGAACAAGCAGTAAATGCTTTTCCCTCTTATAACTGCCACACCTGAACCGTAAATGGTTCCTGTATTTTTTCTATCAATTTCCTTTTTCTTTTTCCTTTGTGTTCAGAGACTCCCTGATTTTGCATCTCCTTTCCTCGCATTTACCTGTACACATACTTTCAAGGCCCTTTTTTACCCCTTTGCGTTTTCTGGTGTATCGGTGTTTAACTACCACACCCATGTATGATCCTATATTCTTTTCTCTTCTGCCCTCGTGCCACTATTCAGGTTAATTGCCTGAAAGTGATCATGCCGGGATTGTCTACAATTGTATCTAATGACATTACGGCAGGGGGGCCACAAAAAAGGATGTGGTAGGCTTTGGCTTTCATGGGCATGTGACAATAGAAATCGGACAATTCTCCTCTCGCTTCACAATCATTTTCTTCCAACTTGCAACTGTAGGATTTAGTTGTATCAACGTGCATGCGTGCATATGTACGGAGTACTTTTCACCTATCTGCCAGTGACATGGGTTGGAATTTGCTGGCTTACGGATGCAGCCGTAGTTGCTTCCGGCCTATCAGTTCTATCTCTACATGTACATACATATATAGGTACCTGATACCGGCCAATCCAGACTTCATAGGCACAGAGGCAAACAACACTGCTCAGATCAACTGTGATATGGTACGCTTTCTCGCTTTGCAGCACGTAAGCCGTTTCCACCCACACTCTGCATATGGCACGGCAATATGGTGTTGGCAATCATAATAGCACATCATGTCCATTCGCCCGCTTATGCGGCTGCAGTCGCTGTCTTCGACGATATAGGACTCTATAAGATCCGATTTATCTGGCTACAGGTGATATAAGGGCCGTTATATTTGATATAATACTACGACGCCTTTCCCTTCTCCGTGTTACAGCCAGAGAGAGATATATATAAAAGGCGGTAAAAGGGCAGCAAACGTACAGGCGCCTTTTCTATGCATATCCAGGGATATAGCCACCAATAAGAGCAACAGTGGCTAAGCTAACCATTACGATGTACATTGACAGTGGTAGCAGTGGCTATTATTACCCGAAATACGGAGTACAAAGTACAGTTTAACGCGTTTGATAACAAGCATATTATTGGACTTACAGCATCATGTCCACCGCAAAGTCAAATATCTGGAGTAATGACAACGATGATAGGCCAGAAGCTCCTAACTGGCGCACGGGTTTTGACCCTTAGTCCCACCAGAATACACGTTGAGCCAGTCACCTGAAACTGTATGGCTTTGAATCGCACCAATCTACTAACTTAAATCGGGCGTCTGCACCTCCACTTGGCTACCATCGTAGGTTTGAATTGCAGCCTGTTTGGTTGGACCAACCGACACTATAGTCTTCTCATCCTTGCATCCACAGAGAATCAAGGCTAGTTCACTTGTACTAGTGAATAGGAATTCGAGCGAGAGGGGCTAGAGTTGAAGGAGGTATGAGAGGGGGTATAAGGGAGAGTAGCTAGGCACAATCTACATCGATCTAGGTAAAAGGTAAGTTTTTTTTTGCAAGCTTCAATATTGTGTCCCTTGTGTCCCCTTGATTTTAACAATGCTTAATCTTACAATTGCCCTTGATATGTTCCATCATAGGAACCGGGGAGAAAACAAGATTTGGCCGTACATTGAAACAAGAACGGAAAAGCAACGTCTTGCCATCAGGCCAATCTGGACTCGAGCCGGGTGACAGAGCGAAGCAACTGTGCAGGATTCCCTGCAGCGGTGGCAGTCGAACAGCAAATCATCGTTGTACACAGCAGTTGGGCTGCCACAGTGGGTCTTTTCCAATGACGTTTGTAAACAAATACAATTTCTAATAAGATTATGTACGGAGTAGGATTTGGTTCAATGCGGAACATTTGAAATAGACAGGGGAGATGTGATATATTAAATTTGTAACTATCACTGTCACTACGGAGTACCGGTAATAGATTGGATATTATATCAACATCTGAAGTGTATGATTAAAATTAAATCTCCAAGTATTCCGTAGAAATTTTTCGAACTCTCAACCATTCGTCGATCACTTCTTGTGTGAGACCATCTGCCTTAGCGCGCCCCTAGTACGCATGATTATTTCCATTTCCCCACTCTGTTGACATGTGTGTTTTTTTTTTTTTTTTTTTTCCTGGGCTTTTCCGTCTTTGCTATTGCTTTTACAAGCTAAGCCCTCCAGGGCGATTGCTGCAGACCCATAATCCTACCTCTTAAGAAAATAAGTCACTTGAGCAGAAAATCCATAGACCCATATTATAGCTACAGCACTAAATATGTGGGTTGACTTTTTCCTTGATTTTTAATCTGAGATATTATACGGAATAAATGTATTACTTGGAGTAGAATACTCCGTACACATAAATCAAATAGATTGATGCCACCAGACAATAATATGTGGAGAGTAAACAAGAGTGTACCAGGTACGTGGGACATTTCAAGATCCAATGTGATTCTTCCCGCTTCTATGGCTACCATGGAACTTCTCAGGAACATGTATTACATAATGATCTCCAGGATGAGCCTACCCTTGGAGGGTAGATCTGTTGCATATTATTGGACGGTTAGCTAGATGGAAAAAAAAAAGTTCAATCACGGAGGCTCTGATTCGAGGCTTTGACTATCGAGGTTAGCTTTCCAAGGTTGTTTTTAGGGTGTACAACATAGATACATCAATGGTTACTATAATAAGGTACTAGGTTATTCCTACTTTCTCCGGGGAAACTAAAATTGAGAAATTATTGAAACTTGAATTACTCCGTATCCATTACTTATATTACTTAAAGTCTTTAGACCAATGACGCTGGGTGCAGTCAGAATTTTTAGACTTGTCATGTTCAAAGTTCCCCTGAAGATGTCAAGTGACTTTCAATTTTATTTATTTGGAAATGTCGATCATTGGTCCGGTAGATTGGGCTCCATTCTGATCCAAGGGAAATTGAACTTTTCTATGATTGTGATTTGTTTACATGTTAGCGTCGAGTCAATTCCATGGATGAGTTGTTGTTTCTTTGGGATCCATCGACTATTCTGGGAAATTAAAAACATTCTCTTGAATGTTACTCCTTATATTCTACATTCTATACCTATGTTGTACCTATATTGTATATATATCCAATATTCTATTCAATACTAAATATATTTTTACGGCGGTACGATCAATCACAATCGAGATCCCCTGAGATCCCCTTACGCCGTTACGGGAATTTTTCAAGATAACGGGGGTGCAGAAGGGTCACGCTAGTGGAAGAGTCATTTCTTATTTTCTATTATTATATTATATTATTTTTATTATTTTTATTTATTTTCATAGATTATAGTTAGCTCAAGGTCTGAATGTCAATCCTTTCCAAACCGTCGACCCATAGATCGGAGATGGGTCCCTTTCGATTGTCTCATCCTGTTTTTTTTCTTTTTTTTCTTTTTTCCTTTTCCCTTTTTTGAACTTCTTCATACTCTCTCTCTTCGGTGCAGGAGGGTTCTAAACTGTATAACCTCTAGCACCTCCATCCATAACAATGACAACTGCACCGCCGGTGCATCATCCTGGCCCCGATAGTGGTATACCCGGCCATCTTGTCAACCATCTTCCTCGCTATCACCCTATTGCCATGAATCCGAATCCGCCTCCACACCAAATGCCACCTCCGGAGCAGATGGTGCAGAGCCATCATTTCCGTCATTTTGCGCCGCCCATGCATGAACATCATCCTTCGCAAGGAGTGCCACCAGTACACAGTCCAGCTTCTTTGGAACATATTGAGGCTCGACTCCGGCATCTAGAGCACGAGGAGATGGCTCGGAATGCAACCCGTAGTCGCATTCTGGCAATGCGCAAGCATGAAGACGAGGAATTTCGGTCAATGACCGAGCGAGCCGAGGCAGAGGAAGAGGTAAGCCGAATTTTGATACCCGTTTTGGGAATTAGGATTCTAAAACAAGATAGGACCTTCGAAGACAACGCAAGAAGTTAAAGAGAGAGTCTATGGGCCTGGGACTCAACGCGGCGAGTGACTCGCCGCCTCTACGTCCTACACCACCTCGCCGATTATCAGAGACCAGTGCAGCAACAACATTGGCTTTCTTCAAGCAACAGAGCCCCCCGAGCCCCGTCAAGCACCTCTCCCACCTTCATCTCAGGCACCCCCCTCAATGGCACCACCTCACATGCATGCTCAACCTCATGCTCAACCTCATCATCAAGCCCCCCGCCTCCCCCACCATCTCAGCATCCACACCCAATGCTCTCCCATGACTCAATACACAGTGCGGGCTCCATCCGCCGCAAGCAAAAATACACTATCAAAAATGTAGAGGCGTGGGGCGAACGCCACGGCCGACCCGCAGCCCATGACCCATCAGGGCGAGCGTTGTGGAAGCGACCCTCCGACGGAAGCCTAGTATATCTCACCTGCCCGATTCATGGTTGTGGGAAATCCGACTTCGTCACCCTCCATGGCTTTATGTGCCATCTCACCAAGAAACACAAAGACCGCACACTGGGCAGCCAGTCCCGTGCCCTCGAAGTCTGCGGTGTAGTCTATGACCCGAACGCTCCCCTCCCGCCGGTCATGAACAGCCACCGTGCCTCAACAGAAGGAAGTCCGCTGGGGTCTATTCCCATGGACCACGATGGCGACCAGCACTACGATGACATGGACTCCGAGTCCGAAGGCGAGCTCGAGGGCGAGAGCTCCTACCGAGTCAAAACCGAAGTTCTAGATCGGTTCATGCCCGATGCCGAGGGTACTCCCATCGACTCTGCTGCGGCAACACCTCCTAAGCACGCAATCAACGGATCAACCAAGCAGTCCATCTCGTCTATTATCGACCGCACCCCGGAAACAGATTCCCGAGAGGTGTTGGCCACACTCCCAACGTCAGAATCGGGTATCCAGGGTCCATCCCCTACACCAACCGAGTCGTCTGTGCCGTCGAAGCGCAAATACGAATTCTCGCCGCCAGCTGCGGAAAAGGAAAACGCGGAGCCTTAGATGCTGTCCATGCGGAGTAATGTTTATCTTCAAAGTCGATTTCCGCCGGCAATACATATATACACCTACATAATTCTTTCTTGAGCGTCTGCGGATATCAGGGCTCTCGATATGATAATCAATTGCATCATGTTACTATTACATCTCTTTGCTATGTCTTTTTAAACTGCTGTCATCGAGCATGCTGTGTCTTTGGATACCCTTTCGTTATATCTGGGTGGTCCTGATGTCTTTTATTTCGTTTGATATGGCAGCTTGACGCTGTGCGTGGTTATCATATAATGCATTCATAGCTAATTGCATACATACTGGAGCAAACATCCTCTACCTGTGAACATGTAACAATCGGGGTAAATAAAAACGCATCGTCGGTTTTTGCTCTTTTGACACAAAGAGAGCATCGCCTATTCGAGAATATAATGGGCTGCTGTAACAGCAACTGTTCTGAGATATCGGCGGCATCCTTGCCATCCATGGATATAGTACACACACTTACAAAGCTCAAACAAATCGAAGATACGCGAGGATTTAGACGTCGAGAAGAAAATCCATGCTTATTAGAAAACTGGAACCAGATCCATGTTCATCTCAGTCTGATTCCTCTTCAAAAGTCTCTCAAGTTTAGCTCGAAATCGTTCCTCTACACAGTCTTGCTAGTTGTGGCCATCTCAATGTACTTTGCATCTGGTGATTTTAGTAACGGGAGCTTGAACGTCCAAGTTAGCTACATAATACAATACCTACTTTTGTTGTACTTGCTTATTTATCCTTCGCCAATAACAAATGTACCAAATATCCAGATCCACTCCTCAGTCCCTCCCCAAGCACATCGTCACTCAATCTCCAAACCCGAAACTCCCGCATCGTCTCCCTGAGCCAAGTCTCAAACACATCCGGCGATCTCTGCTGCTGCGCAATAATGCAAACCGTCGGCTTGCGGCGCGAGCTTTGTTCCTCTGAACCAGCTACATACGCCGGCCGCAGCCGACAGATCTCGGCGCAAGTGCGCACGAACGGTGCCACGAGTGCTTCGTTGTAGATGCAGTCGCACGAAAGGAGGAGGTCGAAGCCTTTATCTTCCTCTCCTTCTTCCCCTCCTTCCTGGCCAGGAGCGTCGTCGGGATCCATACATTCTTTCAGTGAAGCGGCCTGGTCCGTCTCCCAGTCCAGGGTTGTGAAGGAGATATTATCGACGGTCTTGGTGGGAGATGATGTTGGCTTTGATTTGGATGATTTGGATCCCTTGCTCTTGCCTTTTGCTTTGTTGGTGCTGTTGCTAGAAGAGACAGAGACAGAGGCATTGGCGTCAAGGTTCGTCCGAAATAACTTGCGCACGTATTCTTGGTCTGTGGCGATGTAGTGGCGCACTGAGGGCGCCAGTACGAGCGCGACCAGCGCTGAGATCCCGGTGCCGAGTTCAACTACTGTCGAGGTCTGGCTGAGGAGGGCGTTTGTCCAGAGGGGATTTGAGAGGTTGGTTACCCATTCTGCGAAGAGGGGGGTGATTTTCCATAGAACTGAGTTTTTTTTGGATTAGTATTGATCTAATTGAGGGATGGTGATGGTAGTGATCATGAAAGCGGGGGATGTGTGGATATGTAGTTGGGGTGGAGAGCCAAGGTATTCCAAGGTATTCCAAGATATGGATAGGGAAAAAGCCAAGAGATAGTAGAGCAGGTGACTATTAGAGCTCGTGTTGGGGGTGAAAAGTACAGTGTGATAGTGTTAGGGACCGAGTCAAAAATGAGAGACATTCACTATAGCCGAGGCACAGACAAATGGATACGACTCGACCCAACCCTCGGGCCTGGTCTGGGCACTTCGGACTCGGGTAAAAGAGCTGCGGAGTAGTCCGAGCTTGAGTTTTCGTGTCTCTGGGGGATTCCGGGGGCAAATCATAACAGAACTGGTGTAGATCATGTGCGAGAGCTCTGAGTATGTGTACTCTGTACTTACCGGCGCCTGTAGTACCTCCCGCTCGATGAGAGGAGAGTAATGATGGTGATTGATGGATTATGTATTCATTGCCATTGATAGAGATCTCTACTGATGGTGCACGAGGATTGAGCATCCCTAGGTTGTTGCTTGCGATATCTTGTGCGAAGAGAAGAAATGATTCTATAGTACTCAGTAGCTATACTTGGGATCATCGTAGGGGTGGCGTACCCTCATCCACGTCGATGACCTCTTCGCCATTGGCGAGTAAGTCGATGAGTTGGTCCATGAGTTGATACTGAGATGTTGGAATATTTTATTTTACGTTTTTTTTTTTTTGATCACGGGACCAGATATAAATCTGAAATACTCCATAGATATAAATTATGTATAGATTCCGAGGTAGCGATTCCGAGGTTCTATACGTATAAGCTATGACTTTATAAAATAATTGTTGGGAACTCAACAGAAAAAAAAAGAAAACGGGTATCTACCGGTTAAATAGTATATCAACTAAATACCTACGAACTTGCTATATAATAACTATTTATTGTCAATTTCAGATTATATATTAGAATGTTCACGAGAAATGAATTAAATTAAAAAAAATTAGAAGAAAAAAAGGGCTTGTGCCAGGACAATATAAACAAAGAAAACCACAGGCCGAAAAAAAAAACCTTGGACCTCCTGCGTCATATGCCGTAGACCAGCCACATATATCCAACCTCAAGGGCCAACTTTCTCCTCTTTCCCCCCGATGAATGCTCAGATACAAATAATACACATTAATCCCTTCACTTGGTAAGACTCATTCCATTATAGCTCCTATTTCAGCTTGCAGCTCTTGTGCTTTTTCCCCTTGCAAGGTTACTCTGCGCTATTCCCGCACTAGCTAACCTCAGACCCCTCGAGTAGAGGAACTTTTCTTCGAGTTTCCCCGATCCCCTCGGCTCCTTCCCCCTTTCCCCTGAGCGAGCCATACAGTCAATATGTCGACACAAAACATCGTTCTCCAGCCGCGCATGGTCAAGAAGGGCCCCTTCTCGGTCGAGGCATCCGGGTACGAGAGCGTCCCCGGCGAGACAATCCCCCGTCGCCACCCTAAGGCCAAAGACGGTCTCATCACGACACTCCAAGATGTCACTACCACCTACGAGAATATGCGCCGGTCCGCTCGCGTCTTTGGCAACTCCAAAGCTGTCGGCAGTCGCCGCCTAATCAAGACCCATGTGGAGAACAAGAAGATCAAGAAGATCGTAGATGGTGTCGAACAGGAGGTCGACAAGCAGTGGACCTATTTTGAAATGAGTGGATATACCTACAAGACCTTCCTCGAATATGAGAAGCTCTGTTTGGAGCTTGGTAGCGGTCTCCGCAAGCTCGGCTTCGAGAAGGACGGCAGAATCCACCTTTTCGGTGCGACTAGGTAAGAGACATATTGCGCCTCCAAAGAGATTCGTGCCAGGATAACTGACTTTTGCCCTTGATAGCGCAAACTGGCTGGCTATGTCACACGGTTCGTCTACCTCTTGTTTCCCGCTCTGTGAGCCGCGAACGAACCCACTAACATATTATTACAGGCGCTTCCTCTCAGTCCGTGACCATTGTGACCGCATATGATACCCTAGGCGAGGAGGGCCTTAAGCACTCTATTGTTCAAACCGGCAGCACTGCCATCTTCCTCGACCCCGGCCTGTTGAAATCGCTCAAGAGTATCCTCCGGAGCGTGCCCTCAATCAAGCACATTATCTACAATACCGACACGGAAATAGACCAAAAGCTTCTTGACGAGTTACACAGCGAGTTTATCCACATCAATGTGCTGAGCATCGATGAATTGCGCAAGCAGGGCGAAGAGAACCCCGTGGAGCCTGTTCCCCCCAAGCCGGAGGACCTGTGCTGCATCATGTACACCTCGGGCACAACAGGCCCACCAAAGGGTGTGCCATTGACCCACGCTAACGTGATCGCTGCTAGTAAGTTGGAAAAGGACCCTGAAAACCACTGTCTATTAAGCTAATGTCTCGCAATAGCTGCTGGTGTCCACGCCGTCATTGGCCCCTGTATCAACCACACGGACTCCCTCCTGACCTACCTTCCTCAATCTCACATTCTGGAATTCATGTTCGAGAACATGTGCTTGTTCTGGGGTGGCACTATGGGATACGGTAACCCCCGAACATTGTCCGATGCCTCCATGCGGAACTGCTTGGGCGACATCAAGGAGTTCAAGCCTACCGTTCTGGTCGGTGTCCCAGCCGTGTGGGAGTCAGTGAAGAAGGGTGTTTTGGCCAACCTAAACAAGACCAGTTTCATTGTTAAGGGTATGTTCTGGGGTGCCATGTCCGCCAAGAGCTTCCTCATGAGCACCGGCTTCCCTGGCTCGAGCCTGGGCGCCTCGATTTTGGACAGCGTTGTCTTCAAAAAGCTCAAGGAGGCAACCGGAGGCAGACTCCGTGTCGTCATGAACGGTGGTGGTCCCATCTCCAAGGACACCCAGAAGTTCTTGTCATTGGCTATCGCCCCCATGATTAGCGGCTACGGTCTAACCGAGACCTCTGCCATGGGTGCCCTGAACGACCCCTTGGCCTGGAACCCCGATGCCCTGGGTGAGATTCCCGCCTCGATCGAGGTCAAGCTTGTTGACTTCCCCGATGCTGGATACCTGACCTCGAACAACCCCCCTCAGGGTGAGATTTTCATCCGCGGTGGCAGTGTGACCTCGGGATACTACGAGAATGAGGAGGAGACCAAGGCTGCGATCACTGAGGATGGCTGGTTCATGACCGGTGACATTGGCGAGTTCGATCGCAACGGCCACCTCAACATCATTGACCGCAAGAAGAACCTGGTTAAGACCCTGAACGGTGAATACATCGCTCTCGAGAAGCTCGAGTCTGTCTACCGCTCCTCTCCCGTGGTTGGCAACATCTGTGTCTACGCCGCCCAGGATCAAGACAAGCCCGTCGCAATCATTGTTCCCGCCGAGCCAGCACTAAAGAAGATTGCCAAGGAGCATGGCATCAAGGGTGACACCCTTGAGACCCTGGTTCACGACGAAAAACTCAACAAGATTGTCTTGCAGCAGCTGCAATCCGCCGGCCGCGCTGGTGGCTTGAGGGGCATTGAGATTATTAGCGGCGTCGTGCTATCCGACGACGAGTGGACCCCGCAAAACGTAAGTGATGCTCACGTTTTCTGGAGCACGAACTTTGCTAACAAGACACTAGGGTTTCATGACCGCTGCGCAGAAACTCCAGCGCAAGAAGATTGTCGCCCGCTACGAGTCTGAAATCAACAAAGCGTATGGCAAGAAATAAAATAAGCGTGTCAACTGCTTTATTTCGATTTTCTAGCTTTACCCTTGTTCTTTTTTTCTAATTATTTTCCCCTGCTGTATTTGCTTGCGCTTTGAGACCCTCTCTGTTCTTTCTACTCTGTTCAATTTACGTTTACATTTCCTCACCTCTTGCTCTTATTGATATTATTTCAATCCTGCCACGATGTAGACGACATAGTAATCAATGTGGACATGAACTGACCGACATCGCAACGGATTTGTTTTCTATCATAATCTACATGTTTAACTTCATCTTACTCTACAGAAAGCTTCCTTCTTTGATTGGCCATGGACTTTTTCTCGCACTTTCTTAAAGGATCTGTCCAAGAATAGTTTTTAATATGGACTCTCTTAGTATGGACTCCGACTAAAAGACAAAGATATTAGAATACGTTCCACCCTAAGGTGGTTGGAAAATGTAGTTACATTCAAGGACGTCTTCAACGACTGCATTATCCAGCCATCTAGGTATACCCGCAGCAAACCTATCATATGCAAAAGTACAAGTACCTATGTACATAGCCAGTGCCTTTGTCTAAAGTACCTCGGTACCTCACTTATAAGCCACAGTTACACCACTCCCTCAGCAATCCACAAGTACCCCGGGGGTGTCAATGTACCTGACAGGACTTAGCGGCAGAAAAAAAGACACACGTTCGAACCCGTCACACTGGTAAAAATTGAGGTATAACTAACTAACCATAGAGTTTGCTAGCCTCAGGTACAAAATCCCGTGACCGAAAGTGTAGATATCTCCCACGTGACTATCCCAGTCAAAGTAACATAAACCCAAGTCACACATTGCCCCATTATTATTTCCCTCCAAAACTAGTATACTTTCATTACCAGTCCAAATGTCTCTCTGGAGGTACGTGACACAGCCTCGAACCCACCAACCCACCACACTCAGACACCACGACCGAGGCAAGAAAGAAGGACAGCAACTAACAAGCTTCATAGCTCTTACCGCGGCCTCGCCCCCAAAACCCGGGCCTTGTTCGGTATCGGCCTCATGGCCTGGGCAGGTATCGGATTATGGACCACACCCCAGGTAGAAAGCGCATTGGGCATGCAGGCCTCGAAGGAGGAGCAGGATGCGCTGGATCGGAAGTTGGCAGTGCGCGTGTCGCGTGTCGGAGGAGAGGAAGGGGAGACATCGGATAGCCGGGCGAACTGAGAAATTGAGGAGCCAACGGACAAGACGCGAGAACGGAACTCTGGGAACTCATGTGATCGATCCTTGAGCTGGTGATGGATGCGCTACGGGGTGTGCTGATTATCTACGGGAAGTCATGGGTGCAGTTCTTACGGAACCCTGGGCTTGAATGCGACTGGTCAGAAAAGAGAAAGGGAAGTCAGTTTATTGCAGGTTGCCGGGCTGGTATGGAAGGAACTCTTTCCTTGGATATTCTTGTTGAGTCAACCTTCCCCCAAAAACTCAACTGCAATATTGTGATTGCATTGCTGCAATCCCCTGCGCCCGTGCCCGGTGTCTAAACACTCAACTGCCTACCTACATACCACACCCGTCTATCCTATCCCTTTAACGCATCGCGACTCTGGGATTGAAAAGAGGACCCGGTTCGTCGGAGCCGGGAGGTCACTTATTACGTACCTACACTGGAAAGAGGTCATAGCGACCACCCTGCCATTCCAAGGCTGTTGTCTTGACTTCGCGCGTCCCGCCAAGATAAAAACAAACAAACAAGCAGTGGTCAGTGGCCAGTGGCTGACGCCCTGTTCTGCGTTTGAGAGTCTTGATCTGTGTGTGCACGTCCCCATCGGAAAGATCACAGGGAATGAGTAGGCTGATACTTCTTGCCTTACCCTCTCTTTTCCCACGCTCACGCCCACGCCTGTCTGTGCGGCTGCAACGACCCCGGCCCCAACCGCTCTGTTCCCAGTGCAGGGAAAGTATTGGGCTGCTGCAGTCAGCGCCGTCTTTCCCCGCCTAGCCTCGTCTTGTGTAGACGTTTTTTCTTTTCTTTCCCTGTCTGGGGCATTGGCTGAGAGTTCCTGTGGCTCGGAAGAATTGCTGCAGCTGAGAGGGTGGATCGTTGCTTAGCCTGGTCCAGATCGTGACATGTTGGTTCTTGTGCTGAGTGGCCAATTAGAGGTCTATTTTAATTTCCGAGATTTCTCTTTTGTCTAATTGAGAAAGTCATGCGAGGGGCAGTTGGTCTGGTTGGGATTGGGCTTTGCTACTGGTTCTTTGTTTGAGATGTTGGAATGTCTTGCATTTTATTTTTTGATCATGGGGTCATATCTTAAGGGATATTTGGAATATGTGTGTCTAGGCTAGCTTCTATTTTAGTCATCTCAACTATTTGAATTGATCCTTGATGTCGCATTGCCTAAACAGAATATTGGATGCTAGAAGGGATGACTTTAGGGGAACCGTCTTATTCCAAAATAATTTGAAACAATCTTACCAAAACGCCTTATACTAATGGCCTAATGGCCTTAAAATGAACATATGATAGCAGTGCGGCTCTGGAAGTATTGTTTTGGGACTTAGTTTATGATATCACTTATGGTGTAGCACGAAGGACCTTTTGAGCGTGAAAGATATCTTGTGCATCCCAAAGATCGATGCTCATCAATTGGATAATCGGAACTTTGATCCATATGGAATCTTCGTCATGCCAGTCTCGATAGATTACTTCTACTATTATTCTATTCGTAGATGCCATCATCTATACCTGTAGCTCGAAAAAGCTATTTGTTTATAATATTACATCGCACAGATCTATAGTCCGGTCATGTGTCTCTACTCCGGGTAAGACAAACCTAACACCATGCTCGGAGGCCGTTGATGTGGAACACGGAGATATAGACCATTCTCCCTGGAGGCCCGGGGGTTGGCCTGATCCGAATCTCGATCTGGAATAGAAAATAGCCAACCATACATTGTAGGTAGCTTCCTGACTCGTGATGTATCTAATGGCATGGTTATTAGATTATTAGATAGCGGAAAGGGCTTGTATTGGAGCGGTCGTGCCATGGACAGGGGTAGTAGAGTAGTAGATCGCGGAGATCTGCAGATCTCACTGTAGATGCGTCTTAGGCAACAGAGACAGAGATCGTACTCGGGCTCATTGGACTAAATATAAAGACTTAAGAACACAGATCATCTTTTGGACGTCTTGATTTGGTGATGGATGGGGTTGGTTATCGTCATACTGACAACCCAGGGTCCATTACTTCAGGCTTGTGCCTTGTTGTTATGTCAAGAGTCTCCTTGCTATCTATCCTTGGGCTTTAGACTGTATTTCCAGGAATCTATTAAGGCGAATTCATTAGCCAGTAATTTCTGCATTGGGTATCTGATGCTACTGAGCTATCTTGGCTAATTCTCGTGTGGAGATGCTCAGGACTCTAAGCCAGTCCCAGCAATATAAACTTCACAGCATTGTAAGAAACGAAAATTGTGAGCGGAAAGTAACCGCAAAAACAAAGTATGTATTTTACAGACCTTGGTTTCAGGGAAATGAAGCATGGTAGATGACATACGCAAGAAAAGGGCTGATATCCCATGGGAAGGGTAGAGATGTAGGGAGTTGTCGAGGGCGCAGCGGCAGCGGCAGGGACTGCAAGGAGGATCCGTCATTCGAACACCTTGAGAACATTCCTTAGAACGAATCAAAGGGTGCCATCTTCTGCATTTGGTATCTAAGTAGGTTGTAAATTATCTGCATGAAAGCAGAAGCACGAGCCGGCAGTACCGGGACAGAGACCAACAGGACAGGAAGTACAGCTGTCAGGCTATAACGTGGTATCTGTTGCTTTCTAACAATGATATTCTATTCTATTCTACTACACCCCGTGCATACATGTGTTATATCTCAATAGGCAGAGAACAGGAGAGAATAATATTTTATAATGAAGTAGTGGTCTTTTAGGTCAATATGGAGCATGAAAGAATGACAACACATCAGATAGCAAAGTGCCAGCCCAGCATGACCAGAGACCAAATTAGTGTCAATTCAAGATGTTGAATAAAAAACCCTAAAGCGCCTAGGATTGTCCTTTTGCCCAACTTCCCTTGTACGACGTGCAGAGGTACCTATACAACCGATTATGAGTAAATGAAAACAACCAATGATATTGGACCTACCTCAAGAGAATGCATGTACCTAGTACTCTTTGGTCGCTTTTCTAGTAAAAATACAAGATTGTGTCTTTCGTATCGGATGGGATATATATATTTCCCCCGGTGGCAACGGTATATATACCAAATTTGGAACAAGCTGGACTTGAACCCAATTGTTTCAGAAGTCAAAAATAGTCTGATTCTAACAATAAACTCCATTTTTCTGATCCACATTACTCCGTGTATTCTCTATCTTTTACCGTATGCAGACGTTACTACCCCGGCCTACCACAGGGGATGCTATTGACAGGGATCAGAGTGTTTAAAACATCGGAATATGCCGATGTGCAGGATGATAGGATTGAATAGTTTAACATAACGCAGTTTAATTAGAGAAATTAAATCCATATACTCTTTTACCAAGCATAAGATCAAATAGTCACACCGATGCCTGTTTTCACCTGATTTACTTAGATTTGCGAAATAAATGAATTTGAACCAAACAGGGCTAAGCTGACATGTAGGTTGATGTACCCGTGAACGTTGCAACGATCACCTGCACTACTGTCGATCAGGATCTGCATCTAAGACTTCGTAAATTTAATACACTTAATACACTTAATACATTTTTAAACATACTAAATATCTGTTCATATTAAAAAGCTGACAAACTTAAAAAAATGACTTAGATTAAACAATCCATCTCTGCTGCCTAGCAGCAACCAAAATATTCGCCCATACTAGCCCCTTCTAACCTCGACAAACAGGCTGCTCGACTCTTTCATTGGCTCTAATCTCTTCCATTCTGCATCTTGCCGTCCATCTGTCTGCACGGAGTACTCCGTACACCGTACGGAAATAGTACCCACCTTGCTTCGTTTGATTTCAAGACCGCGGAGCCTCCCTAAAAAGCAAAATCAAAAGTGAGAGCAAAATCATTGCTAGCGCCACACTAAGCCCTTTAATCTTGCATGTCATTTTAATGAACTCAACCCAATCATTCCCGCAGTTGGGCAACCCATGCTGCTTACTTCGGGGGGCATCAGTCTATGTAGTCATCAGACAGGCAAAGAGTCCTGGAAGCAAATTACCCGTATGTCCTTGCTTCATGTTTGATTGGATGAAAAAATAAATCAAACAAAATAGGAAAATAAAATGGGGGAAAAAGGCAAAAGCAATAAGGCAAGACCGCATAAGTCCATATCCATTGAAAATGGGACTGGCAGCCCTGCAATAGATGAAGACTAGGACCAGGACCGCAGCAAATAACGGTCCCTGGCTATCGAACAGAGCAAATCGGGGAGTTTGAATGCTCGACTGGTTACTTTGTATGGATTAGAGGGGATTTTGACGTTTAGTCCTGGATGATTTGTTTTTCGATGAAGTTGTCATGCTGTATTTGGCTTAAGTATTATATCGCCTTGGTATTAACACTTGGACAATAATGTTAATTCAACCATGACTATCGATATACTATGATCTAGGAAAGTCCAGATCTTGATAAAATCGATCGGTTCTATTCGATAGGGCAATTCGTCATTTGCTTGTGAAGACAGTCTTTAGTGACATTCTGTATGCTTCTTTTCCGAAGGCAGACGCACATGATAGAAAAACCATATCTCGAGTAAAAGAGCTGAACGTAGATCAAAAGGGATAAAGAATAGAATCACAATGAAATAAAAGGCCACAAAAGTCCACTAGCAATCAGACGAATAAAAAATAGAAATAAAATAAAACAGCGAATAGAAAATGGCCTCATGATCCCCCACGCCGTCCTGCACCCAGTGCATAAACCCCTTCCCATTTGATCGTATCGAGCAAGCTAAAAAGATAAAACACGAGAAGAAACAGAGATATTTCAACCGACAAAACAAAAGGCACAGCCTAAGTGCATAGACTATGCGAATTCTGGATGGGATCGTATCGGCTATAAGTTGTAGAGTAAACGGGGTCATACCCCCCAGCATTAGACTGGCGATGTTGATGGCTGGGGACCCCTGTATAGGTATTGTCCTGATAGGGGTCTGATTTGAGATAAAGGTCGGACTTGATCGTATCCATGGGGTCCATGGTGTCAATCATTG